CAGGTCATGTCCCCATCTTTATTTCGGGCTGGTATAAACCGTATATCGCACAACAGTGCTTCCCCTGCATTTATTGCTGTTTGCGGTTAAACGTGACCTTCTGTCTACATCTTGGGTGAAATAGCGATGGATCTACTGAACTGACCATCTTCACGAGCAGTGGTTCCTGATCCGACCGTTTCTTCTTGAGCAGTTGTCAACTGTTCTTCCCCCACACATTGCCTTTTAAACTGGCAGGGCGACTTAGATATTAGGTTGTTCGAAAGTAATGCGTGTTTTGGACGTCTACCTTCAAAGAGGAATATCTCCACTCAAATTCAACATTTTCAGTCGTAATCGAAACGGCTAAAAAGTATTAGTTTTTCACAAGATGCACGCTCAACTGTCCCACCCACCCAAAAATGAGCGCTTCTGGAGGCAATGATATCGTCGAGGGTCGTTTCACATCAATTTGAACTTTGAAGCATTTCTTACTCAAGAAGTTGTCGAGATGGTTGGAAAAGGTGTATTGGTGAGGGAGAGGTCCAGTGAGTACGACGTGTTGAGCGAAGCTTCGTACGCCAGTTTGTCCAATCTTTGCGAGGTCGTTTATGGGACATGTGGCTGAGCGCCACCATGAAGGAGGGTTCTTTCATTTCTCTCGGTTGACGAAGTTGGTGTTTCTAGAGCATCTCATCGGTATGCTGGAGAGACATTGGTGTTGTGTCAAATTCACCTGGTTTCCAAGAGGTGGGTTGCATCAGTCCCGTGAAGACCGCCGAATGTTCAGCTCAACTTTGACTTCTACAATTTCGGCTTTGGAGAAGTTTTTGAAGATTCATCGCGGTCTAGCTATTAAGAGATGGCTTCGTCTAATCGTGAAGAGTCCATTTTCCGTCGTAGATGACAGAGCATTCCAAATGCTGGTAGTTTTTGATACGTAAAATGGGTGAAAAGAACATCCCAGAAGAATGGCTACTGCTGCTCAGTCAGCTCATGTGGTCACCCACCTGTTCAGCTTTTTCACCTCTCCAGTTATCTTTTGGAGCAGCAATATTTTCAGTATACCTACTGCTAGTCCTACTGCCTGTCTATAGCACAGTTAGTCCGGAGTCATCTTCTACGGTAATCTTCAGAAGGCCGTCGTCAACAGCAGAAGCATGCTCATGACTCCCCTCACCTTCACTATGGAATTCATTGAGACCAAAATGTTGGAGCCAAGGCTGTGCTGTGCTTTTATTGAGTGCTTCCTTGGCCCCATCCTTCAGTGTTATTTCGACAGGTCTATGGAGCACTACTTCAGAGTTTCAGCACATCGAAGAAAACTTGCCAAACCACTGTTTTGACACCTTCACTTCAATCTTATAAAAATCCCAGAATAACAAGTCAAAACTGAAGTTCAAAAGTTGAAGGAAAGGCATAGAATAAGCTTGCCAATGACATATGGGGCTTTAGGCCTGAGGGATTTCAGTATATGCATATTCCAAATATGCATAACATCTTGGAACCGGCATTACTTTTCGAACAACCTAATAGTTACCTAATGTGAAAGTTAACTTGAAACTGTAATACCGTTCCATAAAATAACTTACAGTTAACAGTCGTCTAGTGCATCCAATCAGACTATAATAGAAAGAAGTAAACCTCCCGATCTTTCTTTGAAATTGGGAGTGAAAATGGCTGAAACCAAGGTGAGAACTGTTGGCCAAGGCTCCTCCTCCCCGGAGCCCGCCAGGATATTGTTGTTGTTTGTACGATTTTCTTGAAAGGTGGCAAGGAAAAGTGTCTTTGATTTCCGTTTCATTCTGATTTAAACACCGCCGCCCCCTCTTTGTCACAGCAAGTTTAGTTTTTTCTTCCGTAATGTGTTAGAGTGGGATATGTGTTTATTAAGGAGCATTTGCAACTGCTGCAATTTGTACATGTTACGGACAGATGCTTGCGAGAAAATCGCTTCTCATTGAATCGAGAATTTTAATTGAAGGGTTCCCATTTTCTGCCTTGCAACCCTGAGTTTATCTATTATAATGCAGTATCCCTTGGAAAAGGGCTCTATACGAAAACCTTGAAGCGTCTCGACGGAGGCGGTTAATTTTTCTAATGTGTGACTCCGTGAACTAATTTGGGACGGGAATGTGTGGCAAAAAACGTTTTTTTTTTGTTCAGGGACACAGCGAAACATAATTGAACAAGTGAGGATGGATCTCTGCGGTTGAGCTGTTGGTATTGCTTCTACTGATTTAGGCATCGAAATGGCCATTTATGTCCACCGTAGTGTATTTCCTTTTGCAGTGGCAACGAAATCAAAACACATATGCAATCTGTGCCGCGTAAACGACTTTATTTCTAAAATCTTTGGCAAGAAGTTCATTAAGGAGTATGTTTAAAACCGAAGCTCAACTACACGGGAATGGTCTTGGCAGATTCTATTCATTGTAGAGTTTGTGCATTGAAATGAAAATGGTACTTGTGTGAGAATAGTTCTGAGAGCTTGTATCCTCGCAGGAAGCCAGAAAGAGGAAACATGTATTCTGTTTCTTTCGGCGTGACATGATATAATTGCAGCCTTCCAAAACGAGGCGTCAAATAGCATCAATTGCATTAAAAGACATGTATCTGTATGTATCTCAGTCATTTAGTGGTTGATACTACGTGTGTTACTGTTTTTCAATTATGAAATTTTCATTGCAAGAAATAGAGTGTACCTAGATTGTATTCGAATGCATATGGTTTTCTGTAGGTTGTCGAAGTTCCTGCGGAAAAGCCGGAGGAGGCAGGAGGTGGAGACGAGAAGGAAACCTCGGAAGCCAGTGACGTGATCGCTCCTTTGGCCAAGAAGTTTGAACGTGTTGCATATGTCGACGGTCGGTCCTAGTGTTATCTGATACGCTTTTCCTTTTCATAACTTTTTTTGTAGATGGCACTCATAAGGAACACGTGAACATGGTGTTCATCGGACATGTTGACGCTGGAAAGTCTACCATCGGAGGTGGGAATACCAGTGTTCATTTCTCGAGCTGACCCTTTCTTCACATCTATGAATTGCTCATTATTGTTGTCTCACCGCTTAGAAGGCCGCTGTTTGTTTAGGACAGCTAATGTATCTTACTGGTATGGTCGATAAACGAACACTAGAAAAATATGAACGAGAAGCGAAAGAAAAAGGTCGAGAAAGCTGGTAGGCTCTTTCAGTTTCGTTGCTTGTAGAACGTTTGAATTTTTATTCGAGGCGTTTTCAGGTATCTGTCGTGGTGTATGGATACTAACGAAGAAGAGCGAGAAAAGGGAAAGACTGTTGAATGTGGTCGAGCATATTTTGAAACAGAGAAAAAGCATTTCACGATTTTGGACGCACCCGGTCACAAAAGTTTCGTGCCCAATATGATAAGTGGTGCAACTCAAGCTGATTTGGCTGTTTTGGTGAATTGTTTTCTTATTTTTGATGATGTCATGTGCTTAACATCCGAGAGATCTCTCGTTTTGAGTCCTACCGTTCAAAAGTGGAGGTGGGAAATGGTGCGTCTATTAAAAAAATCTGTTCCTTTTTCTCGTTTTCACGGACCATCATAAACAGACCCTCTTCGCCCGTTGATTTCGGGAGTACGAGTTTGGGCGCTGATTTGATGTGGGTCTTCCAGAGTGAATGTCAGGGGTCGAAGTGTCCCAGCATGTGGTCCTTTGCTAGCAGTCAGCGCGATATGAGATCGGAATGGGCGCTTTCGAGGAATTATTCGGGCTGCCTTGTCAAGTCGTTGATTAGCGCGCTTCTGACCGCGAAAGGGCCCACCTAATCGCACTTAGTTGGACCTCTCTACCCTTTTCCGCTTACAACATTCTTTGTAATGAAATGGTATGATAGGATTTTTTGTCAGTTTTAAATAAGATCTGATTCCGTGTTGCCTTGTTGACATTCAGTTAGACGCCTCTGTGGGAAAAAAATCGTTGACGAATTTCAGGTGATTTCCGCTCGAAAGGGAGAATTTGAAACTGGTTTCGATCGAGGAGGTCAGACCAGGGAGCACGCTATGTTAGTAAAAACGGCCGGAGTGCGTCATCTAGTAATTCTTGTCAACAAGATGGACGATCCCACGGTGAAATGGGACGAGAATCGGTGATTAATTCATTTTGAACACTCCATAATAAAAAAACAAAGATAAAAAATCAGTATGCAGTTTTCACAAGAATGCTGGGTTGTGAACAAAACTTTCGCCCCAGGCGGGACTAGAACCCGCACCTCTCGCTTTCCGGGCAAGTGCGCTACCAGTTACGCTACCGGGGCACCATTTCATTCCAACTCAGCTTTTCATGGTATACGTACCATAGCTTTCAGCACTCACACGTCTAACGTGTTGAGCCGGTTAGCCGATATCGGCAGTGAACCGCATTCGCCTGAGGCTGGAGCAATTTAGCAATGAATTTTTGACTGTTTTTGTTTTTTTTTTTTAACCAAAACAAGTCAGTACGCTATTCATAATAGAATTGTTCGCCTGTGCCATTAGCCGGAGAAGTTTGTTACTTTAAGATGAATGTGCTTGCTTCCTGTTCAGGTTCAACGAAATTCAAAGCAAACTCACGCCATATCTACGCAAGTGTGGTTTCAACCCCAAAACGGACATGATATACATTCCCGTTTCTGGTTTGACTGGTGCTTTCATAAAAGACCGACCTTCTTGTGAGCAGGGAGGATGGTACAGGTGAGAATACAGGCTTGAGCTTTTCAGAATGTTCCAAGTTTTGCTGAGTTTATCTGGCTTGTTTCTTTCTTGTTTATTTTTCTTTCAAGTTCAAGTCACTTTGTAGTGGCCCATGTTTCATCGACTACATCGACAATCATCTCGTATCTATGGCCCGAGATTTTAACGGCCCAGTGCGATGCATCGTTGTTGACAAGTTTTCTGTGAGTTACTTTTCACTCTTTTGTGTGGAGTTTCGTTTCTACTGACTATGGACTTATGGGCGTGCTGAAGTTAGAACTCAATCTCTTACCTAATACTGTACAATTTTCTCAGCTTAAGCCATGACTGCAATCTCAATAACTCGTTTTTTGATAATCAATTTGAGTTTGTGCTCTGTCTCTCTCACTCTTTCTTGTTTCATCTTTTTGAGCTAAGAATGCTGGCTGAATATTTGGAACTCCTGTGTGGCACTACTTTTCGCCGAAGTCCAAAGTGTGACAGTCGAGGACATAATCAAAGAAAGTTTGATTCATGAGATAATGTAGGAGAGCTCGGAGCGTCTTGTCGTGCGATGTTAGTCAATATTGCATGAAGTGGAGTTAGAAGAATGTTTAGTTATAGTTGATGTTGTAGTTGTTTTACTTCTGCCTCGAGGTTGTTATGTGGTAAATTTCTATTCTGGCCAACGTTTTTCTGGCCAATTTTAATTCCAGCGGACTTGAAGTTTAGCCGTAGTAACGCAGTTCGAGTTTTGAACTTGTTTTCATCACAATTGCAAAGTCATAATTCATACTTACCTTGCGTTCCAGGATATGGGCACCCTCATTATTGGCAAGATGGAATCTGGTGTGGTAATAAAGGGTCAGAATTTGGTTCTGATGCCGAATAAAGTGAGCTATAATGACCGGTTTTCAAATTTTAGCAAAGAGTACAATACAGTGGCCCTATTTCAGCAAGCCGTTCAAGTCATTCAAATCTGGTCAGACGATATTGAGACGGACCGGGTGGTTTCCGGGGATAATGTCAAGTTCAAACTCAAGGGTTGGTCTAAGTAATCATTTTTGAATGCGTCAAGTTTGAAGTTGCTGCTTATTTTGTACTCGCTAGCACATACC